ATAAATGGCCGAAAAACAAAGGCAGAACTGTGCTTGGGTCTAAATGATTGAATTTTATTTATGATGGTTATTTAAGCCATTTCCCCTCCCCTTCACGGTTCGCAGGCTTTGAGCATTGTTGTTCATCCCCGGCTTAAGTGGGATTTTATCAGATAACTGCTGCACGTGCTTATTTCTCATTCATGAACAAAGCTGCTCAACAGTTCCATCTGTAATAATATAGAGGAAAAAATTACTCAAGTCTGATTGGCTGAGAAGGGAGTGCAGCTCTTTTGTAACACGAGTGCAAATTACAAATGCTTTCTGATTGGCTGAAAACACAAAAGAAACCAACAAGAACCAATCAGATTAGAGCTGTTTTGACAACAAAAAATCAAGAAAATGGCCATGGTTTTCAGCAGACGACAACAGATTTAATTTTGTGAGCAAAACAACAATAGAAAAGTTAAAAAAAATATTCCAAAACCCGAACACAGTAAGAAGTACGTCTTTTCGGCTAAATGTGATGAAAATGCGTTGGTAAGAGAAAAATACTGTCAACAAAATAGACTACGCTAAAGTAAAAAAATAAACAACAAAAACGGTTGCAGCCACACGCAAACCATGACAGCTACACTCTTCAGGCATTTAAATGAACAAGGATACAATTCCATGATAACAACAGGGATTTCAAGTCATGTACGTTATTTGTTGCTCTCTTTGAGTCTTGAGGAGCGAAGACCTCTATTAAAACATCCATGCGATGGTCTGTGTTTTTTCTACCTCAGTAGCAAACGAAACCGAAATTTAAACATCTTGTCCAAACTAAACCAATGGGCGAAAATACCACAACTCACATAATGAAAGTATCCGTAGCTGGTGCTAGCCTGAAAGAAAGTGAGAAAAAGGTTTACGAACCATTGTGCAAGAAAAACAACAGTCGGGAAGCTGAAGAAAGCAAAGATTGTAAGTTCAGAACATATCGTCAGTGTCACAAGCCATAGAGGTATAAATTTGCTCAACGACTACGATGAAGCCGACGAAGAAGAGCTATGATGACTCTTGCAGTAGGCCAAATAAGATAATGAAAACTCCAACACTGGGAAAAAGTAAATATTAATAATATATTAATACTGGCAGTTTCCGACATCACAACAACTGTGGCTCCACTCACCCATCGATGGCAGCGTCGAAGGAAAACAAATTGCTTCCTTCATTTTCGGGTTTTAAATCTCAAAAATTTGTCCATGAATCCAGCTGTGATGGGGTCTCAGGAACAGGCAATGATAAACAGTCGTTAAAAAACCTTAGCAAAGCAAGTGTCTTTCATCTTTGGCTGCTCGAAGCATTCTCCTGATTTCAAAACGGCAGTACACTTCTTGAAAACGCTTCTTGTAAACGCCGAGCTCTCATAATCGAGGATGACTTTAAAAACACTTACTTTTGCTGATTGTTGTAAACCAAGTTATCTTTAACAGGCGGTGACCATATAAAAAAATCCTTGCACATTTCCAAGTTCTTAGCTGAATGATTTTGAAAGCGTTGATCTTGAAAAAGTTTGAATTTGACAATGGTAGTAGTCTGTTTCAGCCAATCAGTTGAATAAACTAAAAACGCGCGCGCTCTTAAAATTTGTTGTTGCAGTTATGTTTTTCGTGTATATTATAAGTAATCACATGATTTCGAGTGCAATTTGGAATAAATAAGCACTTGTAACTTTTTCATAGACCACAAATTGCACTCGCCCTATGGGCTCGTGCACTTTTGTTGCTCTTTGAAAAATTTCCTTGTGCTTATTTATTCTAAATTGCACTCGCAATCATGTGATAATCTATACAATAATTAGGTCCGCCAACACAAACTCACATGTTTTGACAAGTTGTGTCATCCATCTATTTTGTTTTTGTCTAGTAACATACTGCAATATTGACATGTGCCTTGCAAGATTACATCCCTTAGACAGTTTACAACATACGACAGTTGCACCACTTTTTGCATTTGCCTCATCCAACAGTTTCTTTGAATATTCGTTTTTAGGAATTCAAGTAAAAGGGCTGATAGTGCAGGCTGGCGTATGGAAGGAGATCAAATTATGTCATTCGGCGTCCTCTGGGGTTGCAGGTGTATTATCCCTTAAATTTTCCTCTGCCCTCTCAAGGGTCCTGTGTAGAACTCTTTTTCGTTCACGGGTATTTAGGGCATTTGGCATCTCTGGTGGTGTACCTTGATCCAGGCCAGCTCCAGACGCTGACGAGCAGCTTGGAGGTGCAGCGGGTGCTGCAGGATGGTTAACTGATTTGTTACTTTAAAAGCTTTCAGCTTAGATATGTCTGCATGTGCTCTATGCACTGTCGGGTTGCTTGCAGGTTCTGTGGGTGCTGTGGGGAATTTATCAGTATGACTTGCCTCAAAGGCCTTCAGTTTAGATGAGTCTACAGGTGCGTCAGGTATTGGCACATGAACCTGGTACGTTTCTCTTATAGTCTTAATCTGTGTGTATGTAAATCTCTATTTAAACACGGGAAATCATCAGTTAAGCTTAAGTTAAAAACTAAAACTGATTATAACTGCTTTACACGATTGCCGTGTGGAAATTCGATATATCGGCTAGCATTTTGTAAGCTTTTGGGCAAGTTATTCCGTAACATGGCCCTGCTGTAAGAGAAGCTTCGTTTAAAATAATTGGTGCCTGGTTTGGACAGGGTCAGCCTTCCATCACAGTTTCTTAAGTTGTAAGCAGCGTGACTCTGAGAGAAATGACTTTGTAGATATTCCGGAGCAAGGTCATTCATGGTTTTATACATCATTAAGGCTTTTTGTTTCTTTTGTCGAAAAACAAAAACTCGCATGTTTTGACAAGTTGTGTTTTTACCATCTTGTTTTGTTTTTGTTTAATAATATACTGCAAAATTGACATGTGCCTTGCAAGCTTACATCTCTCAGACATTTTAACACATACGATACTTGCACCACTTTTTTCATTTGTCTTCTCCAACAGTTTCTTTGAATATTCGTTTTTAGGCATTCAAGTAAAAGGGCTGATAGTGCAGGCTGGCGTATGGAAGGAGATCAAATTATGTCGTTCGGCGTCTTCTGTAGCTGCAGGTGTATTATCCCTTGAATTTTTCTCTGCCCTCTTAAGGGTCCTGTGTAGAACTCCTTTTCGTCCACGGGTATTTAGGGCTTTTGGCATCTCTGGTGGTGTACTTTGGTCCAGGCCAGCTCCAGACACTGACGAGCAGCTTGTAGGTGCAGCGGGTGCTGCAGGGTGGTTAACTGATTTGTTTACTTTAAAAGCTTTCAGCTGAGATATGTCTGCATGTGCTCTATGCACTGTCGGGTTGCTTGCAGGTTCTGTGGGTGCTGTGGGAATTTATCAGTATGACTTGCCTCAAAGGCCCTCAGTTTAGATGAGTCTGCAGGTGCGTCAGGTATTGGCACATGAACCTGGTACATTTCTCTCATAGTCTTGCACTCTGGCTTAATCTGTGTGTATGTAAATCTTTATTTAAACACGGAAATCATCAGTTGCTTTTAAGTTAAAAACTAAAACTAATTACAACTGCTTTACACGTTTGCCGTGTGGGAATCCGATATGTCAGCTGCCTTCTTGATATTTCGCTTTAATGCTTAACGGATGTAGCATTTTTTAAGCTTTTGGGCAAGTTATTCCATAAGATGGCCCTGCTGTAAGAGAAGCTTCGTTTTAAATAATTGGTGCTTGGTTTGGACAGGGTCAGCCTTCCATCAGAGTTTCTTAAGTTGTAATAAGTTGTAAGCAGTGTGACTCTAAGAGAAATGACGTTGTAGATATTCCGGAGCAAGATCATTCATGGATACATCATTAAGTCTTTTTGTTTCTTTTGTCGAAGAGATAGCCTCTTGCAGTTGAGGGTGGAGAAAAGGTGGGTTGAGCTCGTATCAAAGGGTGATTTGGTAATAACTCTGGCTGCACGATTCTGTAATGTTTTGAGCTTATCACTCGAGTAACCACTCAAACACTCCCAGAGGGGACTGCAGTAATCAAAATGAGGCATAATTAGAGCTTTATAAATTTGAATTGCAGTATCTTTGAATATAAGGGGCCGCACACGTTTTAGGGCGCCTATAGCTGAAGAGACTTCCTTGCAAATGTCCTCAACGTGTTTACCCAAGGGAGTTGAGCATCTATGGTAAGACCCAAGGATTTGGTATGATCGACTCTCTTGATAATTTGGTCATCAATTCTGATTTCTACATCGTCAGATTGGGCGTTTAGTCTTTGTCTTGATCTAATAATCACTAGCTCTGTTTCAGCAACATTTGACTGAGCTTGGTAGCTTTCTGCCAACAGCTAAGGTTATTTAATTCAGGGGTTAGAGCTAGCTTAAGATCTGTTAACGTCTTGGGAGATAACATAAGATTGGTGTCATTGGCAAACATTCTTTGTACGGCGCCCCGGAGGGAGTTGCGAAGATCATTAATGTAAGTTAAAAATAGCAAAGGACCCAATATGCTACCCTGTGGCACGCCGCAACTGAGGGTATGAGCAGATGATAGTTTGCCAATGACATTACATCTTTGGGTTCGGGCGCTTAAGTATGACAAGAACCACTTTATAGCTGCCTGATCGACACGCAAGATGATCTCTTGACCAATGGTGTCGAATGCCTTAGTAAGGTCAATAAACACAACGCCATTTAGAAGGCCATTGTCTATGTTTACTAACCAAGCATTTGTTGCCTCGAGCAAAACCGTGAGCATACTATGTAGAGAACGGAACCCTGATTGGCAACCTAGTAGCAATTTATTATCATCTTGATGATGGGAAAGTTGATTGTAAACAATTTTTTTACTCTGCTACGCGTGCTACCGTGAACACCAGACAAAACGTTTGACATTTTTTTGACGTATTTTTGACAAGTTGGGATGTCTGATGTCTGGCAAGTGGCCAATCATAGCGGAGAAAATCTTGTAACAAGGCACAGCCGAACAACAAGTTGATCCCAGCGCTACCAAAGAAAGAGTTTTCAGTAAACAGCATGGCGGCTTATCAGGTGAAGGTAAAATACGGAGACGAAAGGTTTTGCACTTTCTTAATCAAGGATATCACTTTTGTCAAGCTTATGCAGGAGATAAAACGCAACTGCTCGCCACTCGCTCACTTTCCTGCTTCAAACATTCGTGTATGTTATCGCGACGAAGACGGTGATATGATCAATTTATGGGACGATTCAAGTGGATTTTCTTTTGGAGAAATGCTGAGGAGTGCCAAAGAAGTAAAAGAACTGGATGATAAAAAAATATTCCTACAAGCAAGTGAAATAGATTCACTGCTACCCCATAAAATGAGACGAACCGACCTGGGAATGCCGAGTTCGGAAGCTGACAACGAACGTCGCTGCCACCGAAGCATTTGTCTTTGACACCAGACGCCGTACATCCCGCAGCAACAACAGGCAACCGCGCTGAAAAAAGTCCTTTGGACTTCCAGCGACAGGAAATTGAAGAAAATGTGCCGATTTTGAAAGAACAAGTTGCTAGCGCCAAAGACGAATTGGAGAAATTGAACTGTGAATCCAGGCACTTTCAGTCTCTAAGTGAAATTCGAGGGCATACAAAAGTTAAGTGTTCAAAAGCTCCTTGCACGGACATAAATGCATGTAAAATAAAGGAAAAGCACCCCGAGCACAAAGCTAAACTTAGCCAACTTCAGCGGGAGATAAGATCTCTTGAAAACAAGGCCTAAGGAGAGGAGGCCCACCTAAAAGGTTTTACAGCTGCACGTAGACGCGCAAAATCTTCGTTTTTCTACGTAATGAGACATAGATTGATAAAGCAAAACCAAGTTAAATACTCAAACAGAAGTCGGTTGGACAGAGATTGTATAATTTCACAAAAAGCGATAAAAAAGGTTCCCGATTGGTCCGAAGATGAAGATCAGAGACTTCCACTGATTATAGAACAGTACGAGAACTCGAATGTAAACATTTATTTGAACGAAGGAACTACTATTCCAAGCATTCTATGACATTTGTCATGTTTTGTGTTGCGTTTTTCATATTCCCTTTTCATTTTTATAAAAGTAACTCGTGTAGAATGCAAACAAAAAGAAGTGTAAACGTATTTGAATGAAGCATGTTGTACGTTTACTAGCTTCTTCTGAGATTTTTAATCATGTTAATTTGTTGGTTAGAAGGTTAGAAGACGTTTTATTATTCTCGGTCTCATGTAGCGTTGAGACTGTAAGAGTCATTTGTTCCGTTTCAGATGTTTTTTCACTAAGAAATTAGTGGCGATTAGTTTGAGTTATGTACTTTCTGCCCTTCTGCAGCGGTCTGTTCAACAATGCCAACATTCAACAGTGTTCAACAAATAATGAATTGATTTCGCTAAAAATATGTAAGTTGTGTTCAGAGGCATTACGTAGGTTTTTTAACTTCAGTTTTCTGGACTTTATAATTACCAACTCCTAACTCAAAAATATCCACAGTGCTTCAAATACGCATAAGAGTTTTCCGCGGTGATGTTGAGGATCGCCTGTGCTATTGCGATTTTTGTTTCATTGACAGCATGTTGTGGCGAAGTAAAAAAGCTTTAATCGCATTAAAGCAATATTCACAAGTATTAAAATGCGGTGAGTAAGGTGGCTGAAAGAATAGTCTTACACCGCAATCCGCTAACATGGCCCTGAGCACTGGTTCAACATGATGGCCGTGGTGAAAGCCACAATTATCCATGATCACGCAATCTCCGCGCTCAAGCACTGCACTTCCATCAGCTCGCTGCTCTTGAAGAACTTCGTCAAAGAAATTAAGCATTTCTAACCCATTAGACGGGCCTTCCAGTATATTATAAAAGTCCACGCCACAAAATGAGTGCAACAGATTTATAGTAAAATGTGCATTAGACGCGTAACGCTGTATTTCAAAAGCAGGCTCTCCGAGTGGAGCACTCCCATATTTTCTGTTTCCTGTAGTTTTGATTACACTGGATTCATCAAAGAAGTGCAGGGTCGTTGGGTTGATGTCAGCTATTTCAGTGAGAAAATCATCAATTGCCGCTGTTGTCTCGGGGGTTGTGGATTCAAGTGGAATGGCAGTAATTTTCTTTCTTGTCATCACAAGATGTTTGCAGATGACTTTATTGATCTGCGATACGCTAGGTAAATTAGCGAGATGGACAACACCATCCAATAAAAGTCTCTTGTATTTCGCTCGAGTAAATGCTTGGTTTTCTTACTTTCTGTACTTCTATATATTCTAAGGCTACTTCATCAATTTTTGGCCTAGGATAGTCAATCTCGTTTTCTCGGATTTTACTCAGTAACTCTCTAGTAATACATAGAGATTGTTTTTTTCGACTATTTTCAATTCTTTTTTATTTGAGTAGTGTGTGTTTATCGACGCAGCCAAGAAACATTTCTTTCCAAACACGCCACATTTCATTTAGATCAGAATACAAATCAACATTGGCCCAAGGCAGTTGCTTGAGGTCAATTAAGAATTTTCCTCTGTTAACGTGATTAAGAGTGGCTGTCTGTAAGGATCGAGAATCGGCGGTCAGCGACCCATTTGGCGAATCCCTGATATTTTGCCCAAAGTTAGCCTTAGGTAGGCTATTTTCAAAAATCATATTCAAAAGTTCCAACGATTTTGTTTATTTGTGAAAATTGAGAAAAATTAAAAGCGCAGTCAAAATGCGGTCAGAATGCGGTTTTTTGGTTGATCAAAAGGTGCGATGATGAACCTCCGCCGAAGTCTTAAAATGAACTCAGTTGACCTCAAAATAACAAGAATTTCAAAGCAATCAATCTTCTACACTACCAATGTTTTAATCTTTTCAAATATGATAGTACAATGGTTTTTCAGGCCATTTAGAAAACACCTTCGGAGACCGCTTCCGATAGCGGCAAAATGTAGCTAATATTCATCGGGATAAAAATGTTCCTGGTATGTCAGTTTTTAACAATTAAGCATTGCAGAGCTAAAATATAGGTCTTAAAGATTTACCGAGTAAAGTTTCAAGGTCGAACTCGAAACGCTTCCCTTCGAAGGAATCGGAAGTCTGAGCAATATCAACGTGCAAAATGGCGCTGGATTTATAACAAACATCTAACATTATAGTTACAATCACTTGCGTTAAAATATATCAAACTAAATTTACCTTTGACAATTTTAAGTTTAAGCATTGCAGAGCTAAAATATAGGTCTTAAAGATTTACCAAGTAACGTTTCAAGGTCTATCTCAGTACGCTTTCTAAGAGACAAGTCAGTTAACTTTGTAATATTATCAGCGCTTGTCAACAAACATTAAAAAACATTTTTCTCGTCCCGTCACTCGATCAGAAGGGCACTTTCCATATCTTCTTTCGTTTGAAATTCACAAGTCGTTTTAGATTAGGTTAAACGCAATAAACACATTTGGCCTCTCAGACCTAAACAGTTTCAAAATAAAGATCGGTTGGAAAGAATTCCTAACCCCGCACAAGACTGCCTGGAATTTTTACTTCAGTTACTTGATCTTCCTAAAGCGCCGTATCCTGTAAATGCAACCTTGTTTCGATGTCTCAAGCGCTCAGGATGCGAGCAATACAGTACTCCAAATATTTTTAATACTATCAACTCACGACTTTTCGTTGAATTGCACAGAAGTGAAAAGGAGTTAAACAAAGTAATCCGAACCCAAACAAACAAAGACTGCACTAATTCGGCGCTATTGTAAAATTGGCACTGACACCATGAAACGACTGAAACCGAAAACGAAATTTACGTTTACCTTATCCTTTTCTCCATTTTGTTTCCACCATTGCAAACTTTCTGTAAAAACACATCAGAGGCTTTAAAGTTCATATTCAGATTCATTTGTGGCGCTTCGAAATGCGTGCATGCTTGGCGCACAGGAAATTTACCAGAAAGTCACGCAACCGTGCGCACGAGCACACCCGTCACTGTTGTGCAACAACATTTCGCAACAGGTTGAAAATACAGCGTTGGTCATATATCCTTGTTTAACTCGGTCTCATCTTTTCTTGAATGGCTCACTGTAGCTACAAAGCGCTTCTAGGTAAGGTCACCCCTTCCCAGGGCACACCTTGCGGTCAGTCCACAGATTATCCTGGTCAGCTGGAATGTATTGCGCTCAAAGACTGTACAAAGGATGTAACTGGCCATTTAAAGACCTTAAACCTCAGCGCAGATGAGGGTTTAGGATCTGAAATAAAGTTGCTGTTAGCCAGAGCAGGTAAATACCACCCTAAAATATAATATTTTGGTCTTTTTATCAGCTATATTATTATTATACGTTTTACTTTTTATCATCATGCACTTGAGGGTGGTTATTCTCAACAAATTCTCCTTCTAGGGGTTTCCTCTATGGAAGAACATCACTATGCCTTGAGCATTTGTCCAAGGCACAGGGCTGATTTCGGCATCCGCTGGAGGACAGGGAAGACCATGTGTACAGTGCCCAAAGAATTAGCAGTACATAAAACTACAACTGCTAAAGGGAGCCACCGAGTGGATAGCTTGAAGTCGGCGTTTATTTTCAAAACCACGAACACATGTATTCCAGTTGGATCACGTAAGTTGCAAACGTTTCTGCGAAGATTGGTTAGATAATGGTAATTTTTCACGGTTAAGAATCACATATAAGGTGGCACACAAGGCGAGGAATTTGCTAGCACTCTATTAAAGAAACAGTAGGAAATTTCCACGAGACAGTGACAAGAGAGGAGAGAGCGTGCAAGGAGAGGGAAAGGCGCTTTTAAGATGTATCAATTATCACGTGTCGCTTGTTTGTATCACGCAGGGGTCATTTTTGACTTGGGGATGCGGGTAATCCAAGCACACCTTGCAGTCCTCATTCAAAATTATTGGTCTTGCGGGCAGGAAGTTCTCTTCTTTCTATGTATGTTTTAAATGTATTTGTTTATACAGTATATTGACATTAATTTCTGTTCGTCTGTTCATTTTGTGTTGCTTTTGTTTCTCCATTTAAAGCAATTTGTAAACAATGCAACGAGTATATCAGCAAACAGGCCATGCCCAACCAAACTCTAGTGTTTGCTTCAGGTGGGGTGGAGCCCGTCCCCAGGGTCTCGCACCTGCAAGAGTTACCCGAGCCCCATTTGTTGGTAAGTAGTAATAAGAAACACTAGTGTAAATGGTTCGCTTAAGTGGCTCCTTTAACGATGGTATGAAATGTTTTCCTTCCAAAAAGAAATTCATCATTCATTCTTTCATTTCCTTTTTAATCCGTTTTTACTTTAGGGGATTTCTTTTCATTTCTTTCTTTCTTTCTTAACGGGTTTGTGTAGGCGTTGGCTTATGAATAAAATAAAACAAAATAAACGTCTTATCATGCTTTATAGTAATTACACAATATATTTGTTTGAACTGTTTCAGGTAGAGGGGGAAACAGGCCGTTCAAGTGCAGAAACAACTAGTAGTGAGTTATCGTCTGATGACCTTGCAACTGAACTGAAGAGGCTGGAGATATCGTCAAGAGGGCGGGATGATGAGACGTTCCTCAGTCCGGATACCGGAAGTCTTGTTTCTTCCACTAGTGACGAGGCCCCAACCACTATGCAAGAACCTCGTAAAAAGTTGAACGAATATCTGGTTTCGAAGAACATCCCGCCAATAACTCAGCCCTGGATGGAACGGGATAAAGCTGGAGAGAGTACTAAGAGGAGATACACCAAAAGGACAGTGGAGATCTTTTCTTCAGTCCTACAAGATCTTACTCCTAATTATGCAGGTTCTCTTTGGCAAGCGGTCGTCTCGTCCCCTGCCATGAACAAAGCTCTTAAACTTGATGAATTATCACAAACGTCCAAGAATTATCTTCAGGCCTTAGCAGAGGCATATGGTAAAGCTCAAGGGTGGGAGACAAGAAGGCAGATCTTGTCTATCATGTCAGGCGTTGCCAGCTTCAATGATATTTCAAGATTTAAAGATCTATACCAGGACCGTTGAAATCGAAAATTTTAAATATTTCCCAAACTCGGCTGCATTTTGAAATTTAAAGACCAGGAGTGTTATAAACTCCTTAAAACCTTATTATAAACTAAAAATGAGGGTGGGTTAGGTTTTAAACTGTGGCCACGGTTTGCTCGATTTTTCTGTGCATTCGCTCTTAAGAGTAGAATCCCCCCTATAATAACTTTCTTCTGACAGTTAGGCTGTGAATGGTCATGGTGATTTGATGAATTGATGAAGTCAGTGTTTTGCGTTCTGATCTTTGAGGACAACGAAGATGTTCTGTGTCCTGTGACAACGCTATTCCCATTTTGATTGCTTCCATTTCTTTTGATTTGATCTTCAACTCGAAGAGGCTCAAATCTGTTATGGGTTTGAATTATGTTAGCGGGCATTGTTTTCTGCCTATGTTTCGCATTTGTACTTCTCAGGTGTGGCTTTTCTATGGACCAACAATCACTTGATTGTGGTTGATTGTTTTCAACTTCACTCTTTTCTCGCGTAATGATTGTGAACGCGTACTTTGAACAATCATTTTCTGGCTCTAATGACAGAACTCGGCTTCCAAGGGACAAACATTTTTCTTCCGAATCATTTATTGCATTGTCTTTTCTGGATATAGTGGATAATTTCTTCTCACAATTCTTTTTGTAGTCGAGGAGCTCGACACCTAGAGCATTTCCATCTTGTTTTTGAATATTTTCCATTGACAGATCAATAAATGGAGTTTTAATCCCTCGATATCGGCAATGTATTCTGAATTTGATCATATTTTAGGACCATTTAGCAGTCTCTCTCCATCAGTCGACATTTGAAAATTACACTGCAATAGTGTAGATGGTTGAAATGATTGTTCGGTAGAGCTCAGAGAATTGGTATCTTGCGTATCAGTTGTCTCTCTCGGTTTCTTGTGAATGTTTCTTTAGGCCATATATTGTTGCTTTGACAACGAAGATCTCTTTCAGCTGATAAACAGTCTGTTAGCTTTCATTAAGTATATGAAATTTGTGATCTCTTTTAAAATATCCTGACACCTGAGGCATAGAGCTGCCTCCCAATGCCCCGATCTTGCTACAGTCATAAGTCATAAGTAAGGAGTCAAATGACAAAAAGGACTTCCTCTAACTCTTCTTCACTAAGCAAGTTCATTTTTACTACTGCTTGGTCTATGTGATTGTATATTTCTACAACTTGTGTCAAATTCTGATGAAACAGTATAAAGTTAAGCTTCAATTTCTTTCTTAAACACAACGTTTGCATAAGAGTGCCTATCACACTTTGTTTTCCGGACTGTGATCCGACAATTTTGGCATTTGACTGTTTTTTTGAGCCAAATTGATGACTACGTTTTCAGAACGTCTAATACCAACGTGATATGACATAACATAACATAACTTTATCATTTATCAGGGGCGGATCCAGGAATTTCTGAAAGGTGGCGTTGTACACTACCGAAGTAGCCTTGAACACCAATGATGTGGAAGGCGAGTGACGGCCCCTGCCTCTGGCGCGATCTCTTGAGGGGGTCCAGAGCCATACCCCTCCCCCCAAAAAATAATGTTTACGATTTTTCCCTCGCTAAAATGCCATTTGCAGAATTCCTGAGACTTGAAAAGCGTTGTAAAGGCATGATATAAAATCAGGAATTTACCTTATTTCTCATTCAGAAACCCAAAAATAATAATGCATGATTGAAAGAGACAGCAGTATCAACAATAGTTATTTGTACCTCAACGTACCTCAATCAAACAGCGTAGCCTGAAATAGTCTTCTAGGATGAGCTTTTGCAAAAGCATCGCAGATCTCGTCTACTTCGAATCTTTCCGGGTAATGCATGGCGATCACAGCAAGATCTGAGAAGCGCTCTTCAGACATCGTTGATCTGGTGCAGGTCTTGATCCGTTTCATGAGTGAAAAGGACCGCTCAGCTTCCGCACTACTGATTGGTAGGGTGCATGCAATTAGAAGAAGACGATGGATGTTTGGAAAAGTATCCTCGTCAAACGCACCAAGTGCTAATAGAAGATTGTTTGGAAGTTCCTTCTCTGCTGACTGCCACATCGTTTGCCATCTTCTCAGCTCATTTCCAAGGGATTTGGGAGATGCAAGGTCATTCTCCCAGAACAACATGCCTTTTGCTGCTTCAGATAGTTCCTGGGTGTTATTAACTATGATTGAGGGTACTAGATAAAGCAAGTGACGGGCGTGGCGGTCCTCGTCAGAAAATCGGTCTTGCATTTGAATAATAAGGGAATCAAGAAGGGGAATAGCCACAGATTTTTTTGTAGTGATCAATTCGACTAGAACTGGGAATGTTTGAGCGATTCCTCTGTATGCTAGTCTTTCTGGATATAGTTTCAACGTTTCCTAGTTTCTCAGAAAGGTCTAACATTTCTTTCTACCAGACTTGAAAGTCAATGTCAATGTTTTTTCTAGCAGACTTGATGTTTCCAATTACTTCGTCAACCATTGTGTAAGCTTTAAAAATATCTTGATCTTGTTTCTGCAGCTTTGATGCAAGAGCTTTGACTTCATCAAGAATATTCTTGGTTGTAATGAAAACCACTACAGTCTGGAATGACAACAAAGAGGCTTTCAGTCCCTGGGCTTTTGTGATAGTATCTTTGTCCCAATTCCAGCTTCCAGTAGACGATTTCACATGTGGGTACTCGTGGGGGGAAATAACTGCATCTAGAAAGGTGACAAGGAGCTCATACATTTCCAGGAAAACATCTAGGCATGTGTGTCTTTCCACCCAGCGTGTCTTGCAAAGACCTGGAAGCTTGCTGTGAGAATTCTCAGGCAAGTATTCTTTCAGTGTCAACTCGAACAGCTGCTGCCGCTTTGGGCCGTTATTTAAAAATAGATATGCTTCGTTAATCAGGCCTATCAAATTTCGCACTTCTGACAGTTTGCATGTTGCTGCGATGGAGAGGTTCAGGCAGTGAGCATAGCAATGCGTGTAAAGAGCTAACGGACTGGTCTCTTTTATCTTCGCCTGCACTCCTTCCTCTCCACTTGACATAACGGAAGCTCCATCATATGCCTGACCACGGATGTTGCTAGGATCCAAAGAAATAGATGGGTCAGAGAGAGATTCCAAAATCTTTCTTGAAATCATTGTTGCATTTGTTCGTTCCAAGTGCATGAAACTAATTAGGCATTCTTTGACATGAGGATCGTTTGGCGTTGACTGGTCCACAAATCTCAAGCATAAAGATAAGATCTCCTGGTTTGAGTGTGGATCTGTACACTCATCTGCTATAATCGTGAAAGGAAGGTCCTTGGTCCTTAGCTCTTCTGTCAGCCTTTCCTTAATTTTTTACGCATACACGTGAATGACATCATTCTGGATAGTTTTGCTAGTATATCTTGCTTGTCGGCTTGATGACAAGAGGTGCTTCTGAAGAGAGTCGTTCCCTTTCGCCAGTAATTGTAGCAGGACAACAAAGTTTCCTCTGTTAATTTCATAACTAGAAAAATCAACACGATCATCACGATGACCTCTAAAGGCCAGACTCTGCTTTGCCAGAAACTCTACAGCCAAAACAATCTGTCGTAGAATTTCTTTTTTCTCAGTGGCTTGATTGGCTACGGACGTCGCCAGCTGGGAATCTACTCTACACCTGTCAGGATTCTCAAAAGTTTGTTTGAAGAGGTCTGCCTGTTCAGTTGCGTATTTATGCATTACAGATTGCTCATGACAGTTGAGGATTCCATCCTTGCCAAGTGCCTTAGTGTACGATTTTTGGTATGGTGCTGTGACCAATACACCTGGTGTTGTTCCCTTGGTAACTTTGTGAGGGAATAAGATACAGTGACTACAAATACCACCTTCAAGTAAGTTACTGTAGCAAAGCCAGGGAAACTGTTTTAGCCATTTGGATTGAAAAGAAACTTTCCACGTCTTCTTTCCTTTGGTAACTTGATGAGAATGAAGTATATCGGACTCAGAGGGCTTCCAGTGAAACGTAAGGTATTGCATTTTTTTTTCATCTGTAATTTCGTGCGATAATCGCCTCAAAACATCCCACGAGCCTTCAGCAGCTTTCACAACAGTACCCAAATCGATCTTCGTGCCTGTGGTTGAACCAGCAGTGGCAGCCACAGGACCTTTTGTAACTACATCTAAAATTTATAAAAACAATTATTTGTATACATTCATAACCCTTAATATGTTAGTTGCTTACCTACTTCAAATAACCTCAATAAAATTGAACACGCATACTTTTTATTTGACAAAATTTCAATTGACAATATTTGAAGTTGTCATACACACAAATCAAAAAATACCATAGCCTGCTGATATTTACTATACAGGTCTCATACAGAATGTCTTGGTTAGACCTTCAGTAAATGTTATAATAAACTATTTTCTATAACACAACACTGTTATGCCACCATGTTATATAACATATTTTTACTCTTAGCGGCAAACAAAACTAACGTCATATTCTTCCCCTAGAGCATAGATATGTTCTTCATCTTCAGAACTGCAAGATATTGAAAAAAACTGAAGGTGATTCAATTTTTGCAAAATCAGTCTTGTGTCTTTTCTTGCAAGACTTACACCAACCAGGCACAGAGCATTCAATAAGCATGAAGAGGCAGTAATTGTTGTCACTTGATTGGCAGTGAATCCTACTCAGTTGAGAGATAATATTCTAAGATTTCTTAATTGCTTTAAAATAGCAGTACAACAACAGGTATCTATTTTTTGACAGTCACTAAGGATCAAGGTTTCAAGAGGAGAGGACTCAATCAATAGGAAATTAAGGGATGATATCGGTTGTCCACTTAAATCCAAATATCTCAAATGTTTAGAAAATTCTAGACTATTTCCTAGTAATGCTTCCATCCTCACTTCTGATGTTGTCATTTCGATATATCTTATGGATAAATATTTGAACCCACTGGAGTGTGATGTTAATAAACTGTTCTTCACTTAAATATCATATGTGCCACTCATTAAGAAGGAGGCAACTCCATAGAATGTTGTTATTGTTTACAATGTGTTAATGCGAAGCGACGGTCATGTTCTTTACTAGCAAATCAAACGTGTCGCTAACTGATCGGGGATATTTAAATACGGAGATCAAAAACTTGCAGGCGATGAAATGATGTGATGTAATCAACTTGATTTATTTCTTGCCAGCGATCAATGATTCTCGTAAACTAAAAAACAAATACAACTAAATGAACTAACTTATAGGGGAAATCAAAATATAAACGAGTAGCGATGGAAACAAAAGACGATAAAACATAATTGTGTACGAAAGGCTTAATGACAAAGTACAAGCTTGTGCATTTTGGGGGCGGAACCCCACACATGAAGAATCTTATTGTTGCATGGAAAACACTTAACAAATACATCTGTTAACCTAAATAAAATGCTTTATATATTGACTTTCGATGATGATAAAATTAGTAGAAAGGTAACTGAAATATCCGTACTGTAGTAAATAACGAAATATGCGAAATTGTTACGAAATGTACACATGTATGCCCACGAGGGGACAAATAAAGTACTAAATCAATAACCTGAAGACTAAATCAACAAAAATATCCACGAAAGGAAACGAAAATGATTACTTACATATCTGACCCACACAGTAAACGTCCAAATAACGAAACGAAACGAAACTAAATGACACAAAAACTTATTCTTCTACTGTATCATGCGAGAAACGTGTAATCGACTGAAATAAGAGCTATCTACCGGGAGTATTAGAAACAAAGCAATGACGTAAATGAAACACTAGGAATGAAATGAAACTAAAAATAATGAAAACTAAATGAGAAACTTAACACAATGTGCCTCCACCTTCGTGAAACCAGGCATAATGTTTTAAGCATTTCTTTAAGGGAGAAGTTTTTAAACACCTCGATCAATACTTCATCAGGCAAAGCTGTGTACAAAACGAAATTAATACTAGTCAGTTTTACTTGAAATTCTCCAGACTTCTTGCATCATTTGAATAAATACTCTTTTCTCGGACTGGTCAATATAAGTTTACCATTCAGATAAATAAAAATAAGCATCTTCCACCTTCGATCCCGGACACTTCAGCTTGATCATCTGGGTTGCTGAGTTTTGGTAGCTTGTTCGGAGGAGCAGAACAGCTTCTTTCTGTATTTATCACGACAGTTCATTTAGAAGTATTAATTAAGTCTTAATATCATGATAAATTTTAATGTATCTGCCTCGGTTTAATGAAAATTTTATTTCTCCTTACCTTCGTTAATACCTTCATTATTACTCGCGGATTCTTCAGACCTTGATTCTTCAGGCCCTGATTCTGCAAAATGTTTATATTTGAAAGGAATGATTTTCTCGCCAGCCATTTGGCATGATGGCGGCGTGATGGAAAACGCACTTTGTTTATGAATTACACCGTATGTCGAGGATACTGGCTGTTGAAAACAGTTTTTGGTGTTATAGAATTAAATTAAAATACTTCTTTTGAAAAAGAACCAAGAACGTACCTGATTTCTTTGCATAAAAATCTGTTATTTTCTTCATTTTCCTTCAAACGTTGTACACACTTCAACAATACTCAAGCATTCGGTTGGTCTCAATCCCTCTCGTCTACTTTTCAATGAATGTCATCTGTTCATGTCGCTTGTTATACCTGAACCTGATACGATCTTTGCGAAATGTACATTATCTTTTCATAACTTGACAAGCAGTCAAAGGGTAAAAGTGAAATAACTTCGTAAAAACAATTTTATTCTATTATTATTTTACGAAGAATCAAGCAAAATAACAAAAAAACAAAATTCTCAAAGGGGGGGTTGCAACCCCCTCAACCCCTCCCCTGGATCCGCCTCTGTTTATATAGCGCAAAATACATTGGTATATGATCTAATGCGCTTTACATTACAATGATTATAAGACTACAATGAAATGGATAAAAAATTACAGCTTTCCTAAATAGTTAATAAATGGATACTAGATAAAAATATTATATATGCGTGCAAAAAATCTATGTTAAAATATTATAGGTTATAAGCTAAAAGCTAATTTAAAATAATGAGTTTTTAACCGTGCCATAAAAGTTTTGAGACTGCCCAAAGCTCTCAACTCGTCTGGAAGGGCGTTCCACAGGGTCAGCTCGGCTGCAAAGAACGCCCTGTCTCCTGTTGTCTTCTTGGTCTTGTTGGGCAGATCGAGCAGTAAGTGTTTTGTATTTAATGGCAGGTTATAATTTGACTGTAGCTTAAGTCTAATTAATTGATGAATATATGTGGGAGCACTACCATGTAGAGCTTTGAATGTGTGTACAACCAATTTAAACATTATACGGTATTTAACTGGTAGCCAATGCAAGTCTTTCATAACAGGAGAAATGTGATCAAAGCGCGTGGTATGGGAGATGAGCCTTGCGGCAGCGTTTTGAGCCCGTTGCAACTTGATAATATAACTGGCTGGTGAGCCGTACAGTAGACTGTTACAGTAGTCTAGGCGTCCAATGACTAGTGCTAAGATTAGTGTTTGTGTACTCTTGTACGAAAGGTACTTTCTAATGTATCTAATTTTGTGTACTGAACAAAAGGATAGACTACATGTTTTCGTACTGTGAACGTTAAAATTCAGCTGCGAGTCAAACCAAACTCCGAGATTTCGCGCCTTGTTTACAATAGCAACACTAGTATCACCAACAGTCAGAGTACCTAGGTTGACCTTGCTAAGTTGTTGGCGGGTTCCGATTAACATGACCTCAGTTTTGTTCTCGTTAAGTTTCAGTTTGTCAGATTGCATCCACGCCCTTATGGCGCGAATACACTGTTTCATGGCATGTACTGCCTCTGCTTCATCAAGGGAGTTGTCTGAGTTGAAGGAAAGATAAAGCGGGGTATCGTCAGCGAATGGATGTGCGCTGGCATAGGCACTGAAGAGTAGGGGCCCGAGACACGAACCCTGAGGTACACCAAATGGCAAGGGATAACAATCCGATGTCTCTCCATTCACTGACACGCACTAGCTACGTCCAGATAGATACGATGAGAACCATGCGAGAGCAGTGCCCGTGATGCCAAATGAGGTCTCGAGTCGGGGTAACAGTATGACATGGTCGACAGTGTCGAGCGCCGCACTCAGATCGAGCAACACAAGAATTGACACGTGTTGCTTATTCATGTTGGACAAAATATCATTTACAACTCTCAGTAGTGCTGTGTCCGTGCTGTGCCCTTTCCTATAGGCAGACTGAAGCACAGGAGACAGTTTGTTGTCAGTCATGTGACTATACACTTGGTCGAAGACAGCCCTCTCGGTAATTTTTGAGACGAATTGAAGGTTGCTAATAGGTCGTAAGTTTTTATGGGTCACGTCCTTAGCACCTTTTTGATGCAATAATTGAAATTCCAAAACCTTCCAGTCGTTCTGTTTTTATTGTTTATGGAAGTTGCTTTGGTGGTTTTAAGTCGGGGAATGGTTGACATGCTTCAATGGACCAACCTGCTTTAGTCCAGCAGTTGGGAGTAAAAATTGTGCCTTTTATGATAAAAGAATGAAACTTGGGACACTTGCAGCTCATATCTTTTTAAAAAAAATTAGATATAGGGCCATCGCAGATTAGTCACGTGACCAACATGGCGGCGTTTTTTAAAAAGGGCGTGGCCTTTTTACATTTACCATTAATAAATCTATAGCAGTTAACGAAGTAACTTACACTTTAAGGTCAGGATGCTTCTTACACCGTATTTATTGTGTCCTCATCACAATACTCACATCGCAGCCGTTTACTGTTGTCATGGCAACAACCTTATTACTTAAAAACGTCATGTAAGCACTAAATGAGGTGTAAGCATGGGGTAAAAGTAAGAATAATACAGAATTTGGTTCTCTTATACCAAATTATGATACACATGACAAAAATGCAACATGATGGTGTAGAAAAAACTATTGCAAATGCTCGATTATAGAGCTTGGTACGAACATAGGGACAGATTCGTATAGAAAAACTGGTTTCCTGCTGTTTTAAAAACACCACTTTAGAAATGGAAAAAAAACGACTTTAGTTCTAAGAAATCCTTACTACCATGAATAAAAGCTACATGTAATAGAAAGCGTAGAAAGTATAGAATTCAATGCTGTTTCACCATGAAAAATCCTAGTTCTCAGTGCATTGTCCACCACATTGACATAGAGCTGTGCACTGCAGAGCAGCCTTTGAGCATGTGCAGTTCTTTTTGCAACCTTTCTTGCAACCACACCTCAAAAGTTCTCTGCAGGCCACCGTTGCTTCTGGCAGTGAGGTCCAGTTGGCTTCCCAGCTGCATGGCTCCTTTCTTTTCCAGCCCCATTCACTAGGGCATGGGAGATCAGGGCTTGAAGTTGTCACTTGTGCCCAGCAATAACCAGCTTGATAGACTGCCCGCTTGATGTGCTGTACCAGGGCTGCTTTCGTCGGTGGAATGTTTTCGATCGACCTCCCTTTTTGCGCAAAGAGGTGTTTCCTGGCCTGCTGGTGCGATCATACAGCACAATCACAAATCGCTCCAGTGATGTAACTGAGCTCTCCACTGACTCTGGGGTGTTTGCCAAAGAGACGAATATCGATGTGATATCGTTGTAGGATCTTCACGTGTCCCAGGCAGTTCGTTTACCTCTTCCTCCAAAAAATGAAACAGTGTCACACCCAGTAAAGGCGTGGAACATCGGCAAGGCAATACATCGGTCTGGTCCCAGTATTCTGGCCATCTCATGAGCAGCCAAAAAGCGGAAACTTTTTCCTGTACCAAAAGCGATCCAGATTTCAGTGTTTCCGTGGCGCTGTGCTGCTGCCACTGCCAAAACCACTACATCGGTGTCAACTGTACGAATGGATATTTTGTTAAATCCTTCAGTGACAGCGTCCTCCAAGTGCAAGATGATCCTGGTATCTGCTTCTTCGTGTGTACATGGGGTAAGCCTCGAAACCTTTTTTTGACTGAGTGCAAACTACATCAGACTGAAGGGTGCTGAGAACTTGCTTTTCGGTTTCGATGCATGGCACTCTTTTTGCCAGAAAACTAAACAGTTCTACTTTGTTTTCATCAGTGCGCAAAAACTCTTGCCAGTTTCCTGGAATTGGTGTTGAAGCCTCTACGCGTCTTCGAACTCCCTTTCCTCTGTTAACCCTCGTTTCAGCTTTCAAATTGTCCGGGCGGTACTCATCCCAAATGATGTCAACTCTACTTGCTTGCTGCAGCTGGGACGCTACGTATGGAAGAAAAACTTGCGAAGCATAATCCGAGAAAGTTTTTGCTGAACCTGGTCGAAGCATGTTTACAATGACAGACCCATCGAGGATGATAACTTCCACACTGGGATGAGTGGCATTCTCGCGGGAATTAACCAGTTCTTCCAGACAACTAATAAGGTCAGACTTAGTAACGGTTCTCACCTTGCCGTTTTGTGCTAATGCTGGAGGGTATGCCTGATTCTCATGCTCGAAAAATTAATCAACATTCCCATTGCGGACCTGTGATGCAACGTAAAGACGTGAAAAGAGGGAGGAGTCATTTTTCAGGGAAGCAAGCTGTAGCTGCGACTTTGTCTTTTCTCGGATTGGAGGTCGGCTTAATAGTGCCAAATTGTTCTTCTTGATAGGCTCCCAGACGGACTTTGTTTGATTGACTAGCCTCTCTCCTACATAGATGTCATACTGCTCTTGTCCCAATTTCTCAATTTTACGAACAGAATCAATAATGGCTGGATCTGCAAGGTCCCTACTGTCCAGAACAAGAAGATCGTTGCTGTTCTCGGTGGATGGATTTCCCATTTCTTCGATGGCTTTGGCGAGATCTTCAACATTTTGTGTAAATTTTTTCTGCACGTGTTTGGCCTCCTCATGACGACGGAAATCTAAACATTTTCTCTTCTCTGTTGATGCTTCAAACTCTTCAATAACTCTGGCCATCTCTGGTCCAGATACCATCCACCGCCGCAATGGAGCCGGATTTTCCGTTAAGCCAACAGCTCCTCCGTCATCTTTCACAGAAGCATTGTTCTGTTCATGCGCTTGATCAACTGCTATGGCCGAGAATCTGCGTTCTGTCTTCTTTACAACAAAATTTCCTTTCGTGAACTCAGCAAAAACAGTTGGATGAACGTCTTTCAGTGTAACCATGTCCCGTAAATGAACAGGGATCCATCTAGCGTAGTGAATTTGGTCTAGAGCAAAGAACCATGGAACAATTTGCGTGAGTGCGTCAACGTACAGCTCGAAGTCAGCTTCTCTAATAGCTCTAATGTAGATCAATACGGCCAATTGCATCTGCAGGATAAGCAACCAGAACTTGAACTGTGGATAAAGCTCTGCACTGTGCGAACACCACTCTTCTAACGACAGCGGATTCTGGTCGTCGTTCAGACTGACAAGATACTGAGAATAAGCCTTTTCAAGAAGTACAAACAGACTGCCAGCCGTGATCTGATGGGCTCTTCTAGTGCGTGTCACATGAGTAACGCGACAAAATGAATCAGCCGTCCCAGGCGTAGCAACACCGGCTTGTACTAGAGCACTTCCCCATCCACTGCCGTCTAAGAGATTTCCTATGGCCTTCAGAGCTGCCATTTCAATGTGCAGTCCCCCAAACATCACCACAAACTTATCCTCACCATGGGTTCCTGGCCAGTTCCACTGGATTTGCTTTGCAATTGTGTATAGAGGTTGATCTGCAGTGATAATGGGCACCTGACCAGGATTTAAACTCTGCACTGCTTTGCTAACAATGTCCATTGAGTGGCGGATCATGGCTACGGAGTGGGCTTGATCATGAAAAAGAGGCAGTAGAGAGGTTGCTGTGACGCAGCATTCGGATGATTTACTAGAAGGTTGCAGACTTGCATGGTATGCAGACCAGGAAACGGCATCAGCATCTTTTACGGTCTCATTAGTTACTACTCGATTTACCTCTTGCAACCACCTGTAAATTGTACAAATAAAATATCAGTTTTGTAGTTATTAATACTGCAGTTACAGTCACCTAGGAAAGCAATGTCAAAAAAAAAGATTTTTGCCAACTGTACCGGTATTCCTTCACTGTTTCTTCAGGAATGCGCTGGCACTCTCCTTTGTTGGGCCCTTGAAGCTGTGGGATGGGTGGGTCGTCCCTACGCAAAGCGACAAGAGGCACCGTTGTGTAAAACTCTGGTAGCATTAATGCCTTCTTTTGTGCACGTATATTGTCCTGAATTGCGTCAGCAGGCAGCTGAACTCCACTGTTTTCGTCATTGTTTTTCTCAGTGGGGTGCTGAAAGAGGGATATCCCAGTTCCATGAAATGAGCCGTGAGAGCTAGTTGAGCTGGGATTGTGGTCAATGTTGTCTACTGCAGCGGTGGTGAAAATACCACCTTTCAGTCGAGGGGGACAAACAACCTTTTTCTGCTGATAGTAGTAACAAATGTTGTTTCCCAACTCAGTGGAGATTTTTAATACACGGTCATACGATATACACAAGCCAAGATTAAAAAGAGCGTCCAGAAGTTCACGTTTCCTGGTCTTTGTATGAAGCATCACACTTAAATAGACTGGTAGAGGTGCTTCTCGTTGTTGGCTGTGTCGGACAATATCTGTATCATTTTCCTTGTAGCGCTTCACGCTGTTGTATAGAAGAAGCTGAGACAGAGAAAGGGCAGCCTGAGACACATTGGAGGAACGTGATTTGATATTTGGTCCATTAAGTACCATAGTAACCAATGCTAGCAGTGAATTAGGCACAGACTGTTCCTGGCAAGTAGTGGAGAATGAGCCATTGAATTCCACTTTCTTACTGAACATATCTCTTCTCACTATAGTGGCAGCCCTAGCAAGATGAACAGCATCCCCATCAGCGTCATGTTCACATGCTTTTCTCAGTGCGGCACCAACATCCCCGTTGAAAGCCAGAATAACTTCACGGCCTTGGGTATGAGCTTCCATGTCTGAAAAGTAGCTCAACACTCTAATCTTGAGTTTAGTTGAGTGGATGCGTCCCGCTACTTCTGTTCCAAGTTGTTTAAGCCTGTTACCGTATAGACTGACTAGGTCAGACAATTTGAAAATTGGGGCTACCAGATTGTCCATTCTTGCATCTTCTATACAAGAAACAAGTTCAGCAAAAGCAATGCCGTGATTAACGGCATCCGCATCACTTTCTGCACTATATGTTTCGGTTCCTCGTGCTCTGTTATAAAGGGAAACAAGGCATTTGACATGATATTCAGCATCTTGAGCTACCATGTCTCCAGCACTCAGTTTGGCTAATAGAGGTTTGTCCTGTAACTGTAAAGTGCAGTGACGAACTCGGGCATCAAGCTCAAGTGTCGATGCTCTGTGCAAGGAGTCTTCACCTTCAGCTTGCTTACCACAGAAGAAGCATTGATGAATAGGGTTTGGTAACTTTTCAAGGCTTCTACGCGTGTATTTTCTTGGGCTTTTTGAACTTGAACTATCATCTGGAGCTGCTTTTCTCTTTTCTGCCCGTTGGAGTTTTGTCTTGTTGAACTTCAGTCTACACGAGTCATGCCATTTGGCTTTATGTTTCTGGAAACTCGCTTCGATTCCTTCTCCTTCATTTAATCGGCACAGATTTATAGTTTTAGGCAAAGAACCAATTTTCTCAAAAGCTTGAAGATTTTCTGCCACAGTCTTATAACCTGCTCCTTTCATGATACGCTTAGAATCAGCCGGACAAGACAGGATTTCGGATGTGTCTGTCTGACACAAAATACACTTGTTCCAATCTACTGGTAAACACGACGTATCAGAAGCTTCCGTTGCAGGTTGTAAAGGGTCATTGATAACCTTGTAAACTTTTGCCATAGCTACATTTTACTATCAAAATTATGGCGGCTTGCAGTGAAGAGTTTTCTTTCACCTGAAAAGCCGAAATTCATGAAATATTAAAAAGACTGAAAGTATACCTTTTTTGAATATGTAACCATGTTCTTTAAAATTATGAAGATATAATTATTCTCCCAAAGCATTGAATGTAATCTTAGGGACAGCGGTCGAGATGGACTTCACTTAAACGCTACGAAATTTCCCCAAGTGCGAAATTCACATAACGCTTTCTTTTATTTTCATTTATAGTGCATAATATTAAAATGCCCAAGACTCTTCTCTATGAGCGAGTGATGTTTTGCCTCAAGACCATTTTGACTATCACGACGTTACTTCTATGTTTTCCCGAAGGATAAAAACTGAAATATAGCACCATCGGTGATTTACAGCTACCATTCCAAAAATATCATTATTTTTAGATGTATGGGAGGGAAAAAATAAGGATTTTGTCCAGAGGACAAAACGCGCTTTCACAACACAAGGGTCCCTGAACACAAGTTTAATAATCGAGAGTTGCACACTCAGCATATTTCCTCAACAACACAACAGGATCGAATTTGGAGTCTCATCTTTGGCTAACAAGCTTCACCTCGCAAGTAAAAACCTACAAAACAAATACTTAATCACTGCTGGAAAGGGATTTGGAAATAAACGAGCTCCTAAGACTCACCATACGATGAGAAACTCCCGGCGACTAGCGCGTTACAAAGCACATGGTTTCTTTCTCGCTCCACGACGACACTGAGACGCGCTCACTAAGCATGCTGGGAGAATAAATTACAAAACGGAATGGAACGGACTAGGAAAACAAAAAAATGTTCTCTTGTTGAGGATTGGCCTCAACATCCCGGGGGTAGGGCTGAACGAGCCCCGTAGACAATCACTAATCAATGTTAAAGTTCTAAACCGACTGTTAGTTCACGACAATGTTTTCAGTTCAATCTTGCAACGTTCAGTGCACTCTACGGCAAACCCGTCACGCAGCTTCTTCAAGAAGACACAGCTTGGTCACAGGACGAGTAAGAGAAGAGTCCTTTGTCTTCACTTCGGCGGTGCGGACACGTGAATCTTCACCAGGAAACACTTTCATTACGCAACCCAGCAACCAGCGGGATCTCGGCACAGTTTTGTCCACCACAAGAACCAGGTCATTCACTGCCAAATTCCTCTTGTTTAGTAGCTACTTGTGGCGTTGCTGTAAGGTAGGCACGTACTCTAGAACCCATCGCGACCAAAAACAGTTAGCAAGGAATTGCGCATGTCTCCACTGCTTGCTTGAGTACAGCTCTTCCTTGGCGAAGACACCGGGGGGTATGGCGAGATTTCGTCGCTGTAGAAGTAGGTGGTTTGGAGTGAGTGGCTCCATGTCACTTGGATCATCACTTGCTGGGGAAATGGGACGACTGTTTAGAATGGACGTGACTTCGGCGAATACGGTGCGCAGGGTTTCCAAAGGGATTGCAGCCCCTGGTTTGCTCAAGACAGCATTCATGATTTGTTCTTCATTTAGTTCTCGAACCGAACGCCGAAGTTCCCTCTCAGCGCCAGTAAAATTCGTGCCGTTATCTGACCAGATTTCCTTAGGGCAGCCGCGAACAGAGATGAACCGGCGGAGAGCCAAAATAAACGTATCTGTTTCTAAGGAACTAACATCTTCGATGTGGACTGCTCGGCTGTTAAAGCACACGAATATGCAACCATACACTTTGATAACACTACGAGCGCTTCACGTAGAAGGGGCCAAAGAAGTCGAGGCCCGTAAAGGTGAGCGGGGATGATAAGGTACCAGCCTTTCCTTTGGCAGGTCAGCCATCGCTTGCTGTAAGGCAGGCGTGTTCCGCTGCGGCAACTTATACACTTGCTCAGGATCTGACGCACCAAAGCTCTGCCTCTCAGTATCCAGTAACGCTGGCGGAGGACGGACAACACATGTTCACGGCCTGCGTGGCCCAGCACATGGTGGTAGTAACGAACTATCAATACAGACACAGGGCTTGACTTTGGAAGAATCACTGGGTGGGCGGCTTCAAAGGTAATCGGAGCACAGTGAATTCTTCCTCCAACACGTATAATGCCATCAGTTAGGATTGGACTAAGAGTGGCCAAGCTACTGCTACATTTCACCTGTCTGCCTTCTTTCAAAGCCATGTACTCTTGACGGAAATGTTGGCGCTGCACCAGTCGCGTAATTACTTCGCTTGCTCGCTGAAGCTGAACAAGGGTAAGTGTACCTCCGACGATACATTCAGGTTTTTCTTTCTTTAGTGCCTTGACAAAGCGAAGCACCCACGACATAACTCTCAGCAAACGGGACCACGACGAATAGCGCTTAAGTAGGAGATTGACTTGGGACGTTTCAGTGGTGAACATGATTGTGGCTGGTTTTCGTATTTCTTTATCATCACTTCGAATGTCTTCCACCCGAGCATTAGGCCACTGTTGTACAGGCTGCCACAGAAAGGAAGGACCTGACCACCACCGACATCCGGGTTGGAAATGCTTTATGGCGACGCCTCGTGAACCCTCATCAGCGGGGTTCATAGTACCTGGGACGTGATGCCATTGTTCTGGGGTGGTTGATTCATGGATCTCGGCCACGCGATTTGCAACAAATGTTTGGAAGCGCTTCGTTTGGTTTTTGATGTATTGAAGGGAGGTCATCGAGTCTGACCAGAAAAAGATTTCATTTACTCGCAGATCAAGCTCCTTCAGAATTGAGTTACTTAGCCGTACCGCTAACACTGTCGCCTGCAGTTCTAGGCGAGGTATGGTCCACTCTTTGATGGGCGCATTCCTGGTCTTCCCCATAACGAAAGAACAGTGGATCACTCCTTGCTCGTCAATGAACCGTAGGTAAGACATTGCCGCATAACCATGCCTTGACGCATCGGAAAAATTGTGCAACTGCACAGTGGCTTGTGCACTAGGGCACTGGGCCTTGTAACACCTTGGTATCTCGATTGTAGTAACACACGGCAGCTCTTGCAACCACTTCTGCCAGAGGGACGAATACGGCTCTGGAATTTCTTGATCCCAAGACAACTTCTGCCTCCACAGCTCTTGTAACAGAATCTTGGCTGTGAACACAAAGGGTGAAAGAAATCCCAACGGATCAAACAGGGAGCTTACGACGGAAAGCACTCCTCGCTTGGTGGATGGCTTGTACGCTTGTAAGGCCTTGAACTTAAAGGTATCTGTCTGTGCGTCCCAGTAGACACCCAACGCTCGCTCTAGGGGTAACTGGTCTAGATCTAGGTCCAACTTGGGATTCGCCCTCGACGCGGGAGGAATTGAGGCTAGCAATTCACGACTATTGCTCGCAAACTTTGTTAGACGGAATCCTCCTTCTCTCAACAACTTCATAAGATCTGAGGCCAGAGGTACGGCTTGATCAATATTTGGGACAGACTTCAGGACATCGTCCACATAGAAATTTCTACGAACTGTTCTGATCACTTCAGGTGGGTAATTTTCTTCATTGTCTTGTGCTGTCATGCTTAACGCCTGGTTGGCACAGCAGGGTGAAGACTTAGCACCAAAAATATGGACCAACATTTTGTATTCCTCTGGAGGCTCGTCAATACCTTTAGGCCACCACAAGAACCTCAGAGAATCTGTATCACTTGGGGATACTCTGGTCTGGTAAAACATGCCCTCGATATCCGCTGAGAAGGCAATTTCTTCCTCACGGAAACGAATCAACACTCCAGATAGGTCATTTGTCAGATTAGGTCCCTGCATTAGCTGTTCGTTTAGGGATGTGCCGCTGAATCTTGCAGCCGCATCAAATACCACTCTCACCTTGCCTGGCTTGTTCGGATTGCTTACTGGGTGGTGAGGCAGGAACCATGTGGTTTTGCTGACTGTTTCTGCTTCCTCCTTTGTGAGCTTTCTTGCATATCCTTTGGTCACACAGTCTTCAATCACAGCTCTATACTTGACTTCAAGTTCTGGATCTCGAAGGAAGCGTCTCTTTAAGTGTTGCAGTCTCGCTTCAGCTAGTGTTCTGTTGTAAGGAAGCACAGGATTGTCACTCTTCCACAGGAGGCCCATCTCATAATGGCCATCATGTTTACAGATTGAATTGGATATCAAGTTCATAGCTCTTTGATCCTCCACAGACAGGGGCTTGGTTTCACACTTGCTCGTACCATAGGACTCGACTCTCCAGAATTCTTCAAGCTGGTCACTTAGGGTAACATCCTCCCCATTAATGAGATTGACTTGCACAGGAGTGGAAGAAGGTACACTGGGACAGCCACCAAGTATACTCCAACCAATACAGGACTTGATTGCGATCGGCTCATTTGGTTTACCTCTTTTAACTTCGAGCGGTATGAAGACCTCTTGGATGTTTGTACCAAGCAGGATAGAAATCTTACTTCTCTCTACTTCCGGGAAGCACACTTGCTGCAGATGTGGCCACTGCCCAACAGACCTTGTCACCTTTGTGTGCTTTAGGGGAATTGTAAGATCCTTTACAGCCCAGGCAGATTTGACATCAATCAGATGGTCATTCTCGCTATCTACTGAAGCAATTTGGAGGTCAACTCTCAGGCCCTCTTCTTCTGCATCCGCATTGTTTACAGTCGTGAGTGACAGCTTACTTGGTGAGCCCTTAATGTTCAGCATTTTCACGAGAGACGGGTCAATCATGGTTATGTCGGAGCCTGAGTCCAGTAGACCAAAGGTAGTAATCTGGTTGCCAGACTTACTAATCACTCGAACTGGGATGACTTGAAGCAACACTTCACACGAATTAACTGTGGAGCACATAGAAATAGTGGCTTGATCAGGCCTTAAGCCTTGATTAACGTCCTCACCGTTAGGACCGTCCCTTTGCTGGTTCCCTCTGTCTCTAGGTTCAGTGAAGTGTAACAATGTGTGATGTGACTTCCCACAACCTTCTACCCTGCACCTGATTAAGGACTTGCACTTCCTTGAGTTGTGTTTAGTTGAGCTGATACAATTGAAGCAAATCTTCTTCTGTTTTACAAAGTCATTTCTCTCCCTTGGAGACTTGGATTTGAATACTTCACAACGGTACAGTGGATGGTGTTGATGGCACATTGCACAGGATTCAGGGTTTGTTGCTGTTAAAGAATAGGTAAAACCCTTAGGAGTTCCTGACTTAGTAAAGAAAGGGTGGCTCAGGACAAACGCTCGCTCCTTCAGGAAGTCTACAACATCCTTGAAATTTGGCATCTTCTGTCCCTTACGCTCGAGATTCTTCAAATGTTCGGCAAATTTGGATTGCATCCACTTTGGCAGCCGCGCGATGACTTTCTCCAGATTATCTATATTCATCTCACTAAGGTATCCCATTGACTCTAAGGTATCATAGGTAACTTGTGCAGTATCAGCATAGCGCTGCAGGCTGTCCTTATCATTTGCTTGTATAGCAGGTCCCTTCGTAAGAGATTCAACACATGCTCTCACTACTTGAAATGGCTGGCCAAACCGTTCCTCTAGTGTCTTGAGTGCCTTTGCCAGGCCACCAGGCATTGGCTCATATCTCTGCACCGCAGTCAGGGCAGGACCGTTCAAGAACTGTAACAGACGGGTCATTTTCACAGCATCACTGAGGGGCCTGGTTTCAACCAACTGCTTAAATCTCTGACGAAAGGCTGGGTAATTTTCAGGGGATCCATCAAACTTCTGAACTTGTACGTGTGGTAGATCATAAGCGGCACTCATTTTCTCCATTGAAGACATAATAGCAACAAGACTGTCATTCATAATTGAACCAGCAGCACTGGGTGTGGCTGTACAGCGGTTGGTGCTCGTGAGGCATGGGGTATCTTCAGTGGGTGGGTCAGCAGGTTGCGACTGGCCGTTGTCTTGAATACGGGGTTTAACAGTCTCATGTGTACCCTCATCTGTAACAGTAGGGGTTCTAAAACTCACACAAGTCTGGGCATTTACTAATCCTGGTGTTGATGTGTGAGATGGCTTGGTTACTGGTACATCATTGGCACCAACCCTTGAGGATTGAGGCTTTGAGTCCTGTAGGTCCAGATTTGGAGACCATTTGATACCCTCCATTTCCTGCTCTGCTAACAAAGCCTCTAAATTAGCTAGCTCCACTTGATCTCTAGCAGCCATAACTTCCCTTTCTGCTTCCAATTTGGTGAGTTCTAATCGGTGTTGCAATTCTAATTCTGTTCGTTTTATCTCCAGTTCGACTCTTTTTACCTCCAGTTCTACTAGCTTCTTACTCCTTTCTTCAGCTTGCTGCTGCATAAGTAGGGCCTTCGCTGCTTCTATTTTTGCCCTTTGGGACCTGGAGCTACACACACTTGATTTTGAGACACGACTACCATTAGATTTCACAGATCCTGGAGGGGTACACTCCTTGATTGATTTCACTTCTTCTAACACTTGGCTATTATAAAAGGCAGCGGCACTGGCAATAAACTGATCTATTCTCTCATTGTATCCTTGACTGCTGAACCGCACGGTCGCTCAAGACTCTTTGGTACCTTTCACAGCTGGTATCGAGTAAATCACCGTATTTCTCAACACAAACACAATACTGCTCCCACGCGGAATTAAGGCTAGTTTGCACGGTTCGTATCTTGACGACGTTGCTGAAGTCTCCGAGATTTTCATCCAGTTGATGACACAATTTCGTAATATTACACAAATATCCCCTTCGAGATCTGTCCAACACCTCCAAACGCTCGAGTAGAATTCCTCGTTGAGTCATGACCTTTGATGTCACTTCGATTCACACGCACAAATATTTTCACAGTTAAGACTTTGGACGTCCAGTAATCACAGGCAAGATGCTCGTATGGTTTTTACGAAGATGTCCAGAGGACAAAACGCGCTTTCACAACACAAGGGTCCCTGAACACAAGTTTAATAATCGAGAGTTGCACACTCAGCATTTTTCCTCAACAACACAACAGGATCGAATTTGGAGTCTCATCTTTGGCTAACAAGCTTCACCTCGCAAGTAAAAACCTACAAAACAAATACTTAATCACTGCTGGAAAGGGATTTGGAAATAAACGAGCTCCTAAGACTCACCATACGATGAGAAACTCCCGGCGACTAGCGCGTTACAAAGCCACATGGTTTCTTTCTCGCTCCACGACGACACTGAGACGCGCTCACTAAGCATGCTGGGAGAATAAATTACAAAACGGAATGGAACGGACTAGGAAAACAAAAAAATGTTCTCTTGTTGAGGATTGGCCTCAACAGATTTTATGAAAAAGTGGACACAATACTACTCTATTTCTACTTGAAATGAAGCAAAAAGTTCGCCCCCGATGACGTCATTTTTAGATAAATGTAATGGAGGTCACGTGATTAATCTGGGATGGCCCTATATCAAAAAATGTTTCTTAAGATCTCTATTATCTCTGTGCCAAAAATCGTGCTTTTATCATCAAAGGCACAATTCTCCTCAGATTTGCCCTTAACCGCTAGACTAGCTTGTGTTGTCCCTGGGTAGACCGCCATTTTCAGATTTAAGGTGCAAGTTACTAAACCTGTATGTCACCTTTCTACAAAGTTGTCTCCAAAAGTTCCCCATAGTACAAGCTCAACCGATTCTGTTGGATCAGTAATCTAACAATCCCTGACATTGATTTCCTCACCAGTGGCTCTTTTGGTGACTTTTTTAGGGAGCCCAAGTTCTTTTCCATTGCTGTAAGGGTTAAGAGCTGACTAGCTTTGATGTCTTTGAATGAACCAATGGTAGTAGTTGTTGTGGTCGCCTCTAATCGGTCAAATGAGACTTCTTTTAACTCTCCCAGCTTTGTCGGGAAAATATTTTGAAAATGATAAGCACTATGTTCTCAGCACTCTTGTTTATTAACCATGACTATTTTTTACTTAGACTTGTGGCCTCTGTCAAAATATTCTCCAGTGACATTACACTAATCTCTGCTACTAGAATTCCTAATGAATTCCCTGTGTCAATGTTTTTAACTACATTTTTTCAAAATACTTTTCTTTACTTGAACTACTACTTTATTATAAAATAACTGGAATACTCTCCCTCCTGGGGTCTTGTTATATTCACACGGAATGTGCTTTTTTGTGAGAGTTATCAGCAGGGAATGCACAGACAAACTGCTTAAACTGGTCTGTATCCTTCCACAGAGTAGCAACCTCGTTCTACAGATGTTTCCGCCAACTTGGCTGAGGCCACACTGGGATTTAACACCTTGGCCAATTGTAGGTAGTAAAATGCTGTGTGGCGTCGTGCCCAGCTGACATGTTCTATTATTTCTGAGAGATCTGTGCCTGTCAGCGCCAAGGTAATCGCACAACCCGATCTAAAGCCATGCAGCATCTTCCCTTCGTTGGCCTTCACTTCCCTTAAATATAACTTCAAGCGGGCTTCTGCAGTGGTGGTGCTTAAGGGCTCATCCCTCATCTCATTGTCAGTGGTTGTAGGACAGAACAAATAGCTGATAGTAAGGTTGATGCCAATTTGCCTTGCCACATCCGTATACAGTTCTATCCCTTTCATAGAGCAAATCAGCACTTGTGGGTTCCAGCGTATTCTGAATACATTCTGGTCTCCATCTGTAATTGTTTTTCCCCGAACATGATTGAACAAAAACCCGTCATCGTTTGGGAATCTTAGGCCTTCAGGCGTTTTTACTTGACCCAGGTTACTGGGCCGGTCACCACTGAAGAATTTCGCCTTGAAATATTGTTGGTCACGAGCCACAATAAAATGCTCAAAAAATTATGTTGGTTTTCGCTTTCCCGAGGGGTCTTTGCAAGTGCTCTGCCAATCACCTCAGTTTGTTCACAAAGAAAGGTGTTGCCTGTTTTGATGTCTCCCTCACTTGTAATTGCTCAGCTGTAACCAAACAGAGGTAGTCTTTGACTAGCTTATCTGCGGCGGGATTAACTAGTCCCAGGCCTCTGTCTCATTCTCTGCCATTCGCGTAAAATGTGAGTCCACTGTCTTGTAAGATAGTTTCATAGGACAACCGCAAGGGTGTTTCCCTCATTGACTCATAAAGCTACAGCTATTGCGGTGGACCTGTGTCCTTCCAGGTCATTTGGGTTGCATTCTTTTTAGCCGATCTTTTTTTGGATTTAGACAATCCGGATTGATGAGATTTTCTTCCCAGCCAGAACGAACATTTAAAAGAAGATTGGTCATAAAGCGAGGGGCCTGGTATCAATGTTTTGATGGGAAAAAAGATGGCAGGCTTTAGCGACTTTCGTAGATTACCTCTTCCCTTTTACTCCGTGTTGGAAGAACTAATTGAAGAAAATGTAATGTTATTGAGAGGCGAAACAGGCTAGAACAACAGCTTTAATCGAGCTAGTACAAGTACAAAGAGCACATGGTAAAACAGCCCGCCCGCTAAGACTAATGGGACATCTAAAGCAATTACATCACATCTCCCCTCTAAATCGGAAACAAACTTTTCTCATAAGCAAACAAAGTAAAGTTCAGAGTCTCTAATCTTAAAAACGTTCTGGGAGTCTTATCTCGCGGCCACTTCGCATGGTCCTCCTAGGAGTAGTAGATGTCGGGGTATGCATAGGACTGTTGATCTTAATACTGGGCAAGGCTTGATCAGGAACTGCACTGTCTCTCTGGTTTCCTGCTTCAGGTGGGTCTGGTAGGGGGTTCAGGTGGCGTCTATTTCTCCTCAGCTCGCCATTTGGGGTCTCTACTGCGTAAGACCGTGGGGTGCCAACTTTGTCCAAAACTGTCCCTTCGACCCTCCGGTCCGGTAACTAAACACGTTCTCCAGGGGAAAGGTCTAAGAGGTTCTTTGCAAAGTGGCGCTTGTCAAAGTTCTTCTTTTGTCTAGCTTTGAGGGAAGCATCTTTTTCTCGGAACTGCTCCAAGTAAAGCCAACTGGGGATTAGCTGCGCTGGAACAGTAGGGACTTGAGTACAGATTTTTCTTCCCATTAACAACTCTGCTGGGCAGAGTCCACTCTCAAGGGGTGTGGCACGGTACCCCAAGAGAGCACTGTAAGGATCTTGAGCTTTCTTAAGCAGGTGTTTCACTGTTTGAACTGCACGTTCCACTTCGCTATTCGCTTGTGGATACCTCGGGCTGGTCGTAGTGTGGATAAGTGCATACTCTTCGGCGAACTGGGCGAGTGCGTTTGACAAAAACTGCAGGCCGTTATCTGACACAAGTTGGTCCGGTATACCATGTCTTGCGAACATAGATTTCAGATGTACCACTATATCCGGTGAAGTTGTGCGGGTTAGCTTAGCAACTTCAACATAACGTGAGAAGTAATCAACAACAAGCAGAAAGGTTTGACCTTTCAGTTCAAATAAGTCTGCGGCAAGTTTCTGCCAAGGGTGATCAGGTAGTTCCGATGGGATCACTGGCTCGGGTCTGTTTACACGCTCTTTGATGCAGGTGGAACAGTTGTTCACCAGTTCCTCGAGTTGTTTGCTCAGGCCTGGCCACCAAACTGATGTTTTGGCTCTCTCTCTGCATTTAGTAATGCCTTGATGGCCCTCATGTAACTTATCTAGGACATCAAGTCGTATAGACACAGGAATCACCAGTCGGTTGCCTTTCATTAATAAGCCTTGCTGGACTGTCAGGTCACCTCTCTCTTGCCAGTAGGCTTTAAGTGGAGTAGGAAGATGGGATTTCTCTGGCCAGCCGTCAGAACAATAGGTGATGAGTTGCTTAGTAACTTCATCTTGCTGTTGCTGGGACCTCAGCTCCTCAAGTCGATCTTCAGTAGCAGGTAAGTGCTTTATAACTGAGTCAACATAGGCTTTGACATCATCAGTCAACTTTTCTTCTTCTTGGTTCAATGGTCTAACAATGGGGGCTCGTGACAGAGCGTCTGCAGTGCAGAGGTTTTTACCAGGTACTTGGCTGATAGTGTACGCGAAGCGCATCATTCGCATTCTGTATCGCTGTATTCTGGCGGGGAGATCCTCAAGACTCTTGGAAGCGAGCAATGACACTAAGGAACACTAAGGACACTATGTGGAATTTGAGTCCAATCAGGTAGTCTGCAAAGCGTTCACTTGCCCAAGTTATGCCCAAAGCTTCTTTTTCTATCTGCGCATAACGCTGTTCTGTGGGGCTCATAGCTCGTGAGGCGTATGCAACGGGGCGCCATTGGTCATTATCTTGCTTCTGCAATAATACAGCTCCCAGGCGATAGAATGATGCGTCACTTGAAAGTTTTGTTGCCTGATGTGCATCATAGTGAGCTAGGGTGGGTGTAGATGCAAGGCTCTGTTTCAGGGCTGAGAAGACCTGCTGTTGTGCGTCACCCCAAGACCAGTGGTTTTTTGAACTCAGTGGTTTAGAAAGCTCTGCTACTCGTGGCTGATATTTACTCAACTGGTTAACCATCCCTAGGAATCTTCTTAGACCTGACTGATCCTTGGGGGGTTTCCATCTCCAGTATCGCTTCTACTTTCTTGGGGTTAACATGTACTCCTTCGGAATCAATAATGCTGCCTAAATACTCGACTGAAGGTTTTGAAAACTCGCACTTCTCTTCATTCAGAGTGAGGTTAGCCTCTTGGAGCTTGTGAAGAGTTGCTTCCAGGTGTTTATCATGTTCTTCAGTTGTTTTGCCAAAGACTAGAATATCATCCATCTGACAAAGGGCACCATCAGTTCCTTCCAGAACTTGTGAGATCCGCTTTTGGAAATGTTCAGAGGCTGAACTTATCGCAAAGGGTAGGCGGTTGAAGCAGAATCTCCCAAATGGAGTGATAAAAGTGGTACGTTTTGCTGACTCAGGTGATAGACCAATTTGCCAGAATCCTGAATTTGCATCCAGCTTGCTAAACACGGTCGTTCCAGATAGTTGGGCTAGGGTGTGGTCTACACTAGGCAGCGGGTGGAACTCCCTTAGGATGCTCCCATTGAGGTTTGTTAAATCAACACAGATGCGTACTTTGCCATTAGCTTTTGGTACAACTACCATTCCAGCACACCATTCAGTTGGTTCATCTACCTTGGAAATGATTTGCATTTGTTCCATCCGGGAAAGTTCTTCTTTGACCTTTGTAAGAAGGGGTACTGGAACTCTCCTGGGAGTACTAAGTGTGAATGGTTTGGCCTCGGGTTTCAGCTTTATGACGTAGTCAGGACCTCGAAGTTTTCCAAGTCCAGTGAAAAGTCCTAGAAACTTTGCATTGAGGTTTGTGGCTTCCACAGCATCAACCTTTTGTACTATGGGAAGAGTTTCTATAGCAGGACGACCAAGCAGGGCGTTATGGGCACCGTTCACTATGAATATCTCCTGCTCCGTTGTTTTGTCTCCTTTCTTGATTTTTCCCACAAAACATCCACGCACAGGGAGTGAAGTATGGGCTGGACCAAAAAATGTCTTGCTTGATTTTACGAGGGTTGGAGTCGGTCGTAGCGCTTCGTAGATCTTATCAGGGATTACGGTCACGTCAGCTCCAGTGTCAATCTTGAAGCGAACTTGTGCGTTATTAAGAGGCCCTGCGCCTAAGAAACGACCGATGATTTCCGGCTAAAAAATAAAATCGGCCGATTTTTATCTCCCAAGTAGAGGTTACCGAATACTATTCAAAAATGATTTTTTTTTGTTCTAGTTTCGCTTTAAACCAAAAATATCGAGCCGCAAACTTTTTCCGTCTGATAGCAGCAAAATCAGGCCTAAAATAAGCTCTCGCAAAAAACGGTTCAGAAATCACTATCGCAACACAAAACAACGAGAAAACCACACAGTGATGAAGAAAAAGGCCTTTTAATGCAATATCATTCGATAAACATCGAAAAACTGCCGAAGGGAATAAAAAATAAATTTTCAAATATTGCATATTAAATTAGATAGAGCGTTGGAGTTGATTTTAAAATAATAATTTCTCAAAAGTCCAACGCTGCTGAAAGCAATCACAGTGATGAATCAGACATTGGAGGGATATACATTACGATTCTGGAAAAACATTTTTCGGCCAAAGTATTCTGACGTTGTAAAAACCGTTCAAAGTTACCTTATTTACCGTTAAGTTGCCACTTCGGCGAAACGCTTCTCTGTTGCCAATATGGCCAAGGATAGCGTGGTAAACGCCACTTTAAGCCTTGCTAGGCGCTCAAAACCATCCTAAATAGAAGTATATAGAGTTAAAAGAGAAAGGAAAATGAAAGATTCGCAGAAAAAGAGAATAACCCGAAATTACCATCTGCTAAGGAGAGCTGAATCTTGGAAATGTTGTCGCGTGACAGCGTTCATTTGTCCGAACTGCAGCGGGATCCAAACAAATACGTGAAATGTAAGTTTAAAAAGAAAATCGTGAAGTGAAACAGTTTTATGTTTTCCTATTAATGATGATGAATTCAGCCTCAGCTAGTCTCTAAGTACTTTGAATGTGGGCTGCTTGTATTTCGTTACATACATTCCAACGGACGTTACGGGTCAGCGCGTGTAGGGGTCAGCGGACCTGAAGAAAGGTGATGAAGTTGGAGAGCAACGCCATGCTAGGAGGGACATTGGTAGGTACCAAAAACCGAAAATAAATGCGGTATCG